CCCAGCCCAGCCTCTGGCTTCTTTACTTTTCGTCCCATCCAGGAAGAGCCACACCGACTGCTGAAACTTCCTTAGCCTGACAAAGGGTTTTTGAACCCAAAAGCTTGCTTAATAATTGTTTTCCGACTATTTAAGTTGGTCTAATAAAAGATATCAGATTCATGCAAAGAACCTTGTCTGCCTTAATACTTTAGCTTACTCTTCTACATCTGACAGCCAGGTTTCTTCCCAGCAACGTCAGGGGAAGGATCCCACCAGGATTTCAGTTACCTACATGAGTCACTAAAGGATAGGGACACATGAAGGAGTCACTGGGAGTTAAAAGGGGGCACTTCTTCACAGCATGGCAGCTGCTCTGCAGTAACTGCCCATATGCACGTTCTTACCCCATGGTAAGAGGATGCTAACCCTTAGCAGCTTACTTCTCCTTCAGCAAACAACTGGGCTAATTTTCATTACAGGGGGTAAATGCATGCATATGGGCAGTTAGTGTGGGGAAGCTGAAGAAGAGTAAAACTTGCCCTCCTCTACCTTGTGCTAATTTACTTGTGTGCCTGTGCCCTGAAACAACTCCACCTCATTTGGAGTCATTAGGCCATACAGCCTAGTGGAAAGGGCAATGGGGCCAGTCATGAGCCCTGGGATCTGGCCCCACCCCTCCTACAATCCAGCTGCATGACCTTGGGCAAGCCACTTTGCACATTTGTATCTGCATCTGCTCCTGGTCTCTCCCTATTTGGCTGTTTTGTTTGTAAATCCTCCAGGCCAGGGACGGTCTCATCTGGAGAACCGTGCATGTTTATGCTGTTCCTCCAGACAGCGGGGTCTCTGGGTGCTACCTTGGCATGCACAATAACAGTGCAGTGCCTGACTCTTGCCTCCCTGGACTCTGCCCTCAGTGGGACATTTCTGTAGGTGCTATTTTGCAAGGTTTGGAGTTGGCCTGTCACAACCATATTTTTCTGCCTTTCTTCTTCTTTCAATGGTTTTGAAATACTGAATTCTGCAAATACAACCTGAGGGTTGGGGGGCATGGACTGCTGAGCTCTCATCTAGAAGAGACTCACAGCATCATAACAAGTTAGGGTTGGAAGGGACCTCAGGAGATCACATCTAGTCCAACCCCCTCCTCAAAGTAAGACCATCCCCAACTATTTCATCCCAGCCAAGGCTTTGCCTAGCCTGGTCTTAAAAACCTTCAAGGATGGAGATTGCACCACCTCTCTGGGTAACCTGTTCCAGTGTTTTACTACCCTCCTAGTGAGAAAGTTTTTCTTAATATCCGACTTCAATTTCCCTTGCTGCAACTTGAGCCCATTGCTCCTTGCTCTGTCATCTGCCACCACTGAGATCAGTCCAGCTCCATCCTCTTTTGAACCCCGCTTTAGGGAGTTGAAGGCTGCTATTAAATCCTCTTTCAGTCTTCTCTTGTCTAGACTAAATAAGCCCAGTTCCTTCAGCCTCTCCTCAGAAGTCATGTGCCCAAGCCCCCTATTTTTGTTGCCCTCCCATTTGGGAAAATGGGAATGAGGGTAGAAAGATCAAAATGTGCTTGTAGACCTTTCCAAACACACGTTCAGAGGTAATGACAGACAGGAAGGAATAACCCACGTTACCCACAGAATCCCAACTCAACAGCCTAGTCCATGCACGGGCGAAAAAGTGAGGCATTACCTCCCTGAGGCAGGTATAAATGGGACAGACGAGGACCCGGAAGGGCTCCCCAGTGCTGCTTCTCATGGTGCCGAAGACTTCACAGAGAAAGGTGATGAACCCCAGCCAGCGCTCCACGTCCCGTTGCTGCAGCTCCTCCCGCATTGTGAAATCCTTCTGAAAGAGGGACAGACAACAGACGGCATCAGCAAAACCACACCGTCATGGAAGAGGGAACAGCTGTCTGGGGAGAGAATTAAGAAAAGAGGAAATGGAAACTATAGGCGGAGGAGACAGACTGTCTCTTTAGTAATGAACAAGGAGATTACCCAATGCAAGGGCAGAGGCTGAAATTTCAACACAAAAAGGCATCGCAAAACAGGTACTGTGGAAATAGTGTCGGCGACCGCAATGTTTGCCACAATGTAATAGAAACTGCTTCCCCTTTGGCCTTTATTCCTTCTGTGATGTATGGGAGCAGTCATTTCAGCTTGTACAACAAAGCCCTGGCAAATGCAAAGGGCATGCGAGCCGCACCAAGAGCGCTTGCTACGTGGGGCTCTCCAGCTTAATAGAGCTCAAGTCACATGCGCAGTCTGCCCAGGCCTCTCTCAAGGTTACTGCCTTGTGAACAGGACAGTCCATGTAGTCCTTCTGCAGTGCCTCTACATGGCTGCTGCAAGTGCCCCCTGGGGGCCCTCTAAATTACAGAGGGGCTGGCGGGGTGCCCAATGGGACAAGGACCAAGGGAGTGCAATGCTGGTACTAAAACAGTGCCCTAGGATGGCATCCAGGAGCTATGACAGGGCCAAAGGCACAACAAGTTATCTGTGTCCCCACAGGCCCAGAGAAGACAAAACTAGTGGATGCTAAAAAGTGAGGACTCTAAGAAAATAAAAGCATGAGAGGCAAGAGCAAAAAGAAAAGCAGAAATCCAGTAAAAACATCATTCATTTTTAAGCAGGGAGGTTGGTGTTTGAGAGGGACAATATACAGTAATAAACTATGATGGTACAGCAAGTGTATACAGCGCTTAGAGTTATGGGTGTTTCCCTCTATGATGGCACACAGCTCATTTCAAGAAGTACCACTTCGGTTTGCTTATCTCTCTTCTTAAGTCCCCTTTCTTGTGGTTGTGAGTCATAAATGGAGGGGGAAATTGCAGAACCAGTTCAAAACCCTATGGAGGAGTACAGTAATTGAATTTATTATCTTTACCCAGCTTATTCCTATGGGTGGAGACAAAGGAGGGATACACTGTTGCATCTAATGTCTTAAGCCTGGAGATAGATGGCTGTGCAGGGCTAGGCAAAGAAATTACACAGAACCTGGTATAAGTGGTTGGAAACCGGTTCAAATCTGTAACACAACAGAAGTTCACTGCACATAAACCACTTTCAAAATGGGCAAAATCAATTTAAGATAAACCTGGATGGATGTCGTATCAGACCTAGCTGGTTTAGATCAAATAG